CTTTTTAAATGGACATTTATGTTATTTTATATATTTTTGTAAATAAAAATATATTAGTTTTAATTAATCTAAAATAAAATTTATTTATTAACTATATACTTAAATATATATAATGATATGTGACGGGTATTATATTACTTATTTTTATACTTAAATTCTATAAAAAATTTTAAAATTATATTCATCTCTAAAATTTAATATATATTTTTAGCCCCATTTGAATAAAACATCAAATTTGTCGTCAAATTTAATTAGCAGCATGCATAGTATTAAAACGTCATGACTTGTTTTTTTTTTGTTTCCATTTGAAGAGTACAAAAACCGTGTCCAATTGGTTGAAATTCGAATGGACATCAACTCTTAAAAAGTAGTCACGCCTATTAGTGAAAATGCCACCTTCACCTATTCCATCAAATTATTATTGATCAAAGTTGGTGGACGCTAGGCAGCTTGAGAATAATCATTGGATAAGCTTGAAAAAGTGAATCATTCTATTCATATCTAATGTAAAAAGAGAAAATCGCAAGTTCCTTTCTTTGTGACTTTATTAAATGGAATTTAGTCGTTTTGTAAATCTAAGCAACTATTTCAAGTTTTACGTTCAAATTAAAGTAATAATAAATAAAAAAAATTAACGATGATGCCTTAAAAGTAGGGCAAATTAAGAGAGAAAAAAAAAACATAAAATCAAATAATTATTGTTCCTAACTTTGAAGTTGACGGATGAGGTAATAAAACAGAAAGTAAAATAAAATAAAATTGAATGTTAAAGGTTCAAATTTAAGGTTTGTCTATCAAAGCAAAAAAAAAAAAATCTATAATTGTCACATTATAATTTAAAACTAAGTAAAATCTATTAAAATTTTATATAAAACTTAACATTTTAAATAATAAATTTTATATAATTTTTAATTATAATTAAACAATTATAAAATTATAATAAAAAAATATTGATAGTGCGAAGCAAAATGGTTAATTTATTTGTACTTGGTTCAACCAAAGAGTTGACTTTTGAACAGCTTCTCTTTACCAAACAGTAGGGAAACTTCCATTTTGTCAAAATTTATTAAAATAAATAAAATGAAATACTATGTAATAAAAAGGAAATTATCCAGAAATTATGAATTTTCCAAGACATATAGAAAAAAAAAAAATTAGTAAGGTTTTTGACATGCTGCATTTTGCCACCTGACATACATGCGGCCGAAGGTGCTATGTTTAGCAAGAAAGTTATTGTGATGACAAAGAAAAGTTTACCAACGATGAAAATGAAAGGCTTAGTGAAAATGAAAAAATCTTTTAATTATAACAGTCGATTTTATTTTTAAACAAGTGATTGTGCTATTTAATTATATCATCATTATTATGTTTGTATTTAAATATATTTTTTTATAATTAATTTAAATTTTATTATTATAATATCTAATTTAATATAATCTTATTTTAATTGTTGTTTTTAATATTATTGAAGTTAATTTTATCATTTATCTAAGTAATTTTTAATAATCAAAATTTAATTTTTGATCATTACAAATAAAAAAATCATGTAATAAATTTAAAATTCAATCATAATATTACATTTGATGAAATAAAAGTGCATTAAAACAACATTTTATTTTTGTATCTTATTATTTGAAAAAAAAATAAATTAATTGTCATCTGTTTCTCTTTGATATTTGAATTAACTTGTTTCGTAATGGATAAATTTGATCATGTGGTAGAAAAAAAAAACAGCTATGAATCATTGTAAACTTTTGCTTCCTCCTAAAACAACCAATTTGTGACACAGTTTCATATGGAAAAATTGGTCCTTAGAAGCATTTTGCTTGATTTTTCTCATCATTCCTAGAAAATTTTTGCGATTAGAGTAATTTGCTCACGTTAAATTGATGTTTGCATCAATCATCATTAAAAGTATAATCGAGTCGAATCGATATAATGAAAAGTTTAAATTCAAGTTCAACTCTTAACTCACGACTCGATATTCGATTCAAACTCAATCGAATTTTATTTTTTTAGTTCGAGTTCGATTCATAATCAAAATTGAATTACTCAAACTCGTTCGATTAAGTTCGATTAATATACAAAAATAAACTTGATTCTTATACTCAATAAGAGTTCGATTATTTGTGCTCGAATTCGAATTTAAATTCGAGATATTTTATTAATCAAAATAATAAAAATATATTTAAATATAAAAATTTAATTAAAGTTATAAATTACTCAAATTAAATATAAAAATATTTAAATTTGATTCAATCGATGAGTCAAACTATTTAAACTCGAACTCAACTCAATTCGATAATAATCAAATCAAATTTAAATTTTATTTAAATTAAATCTAAATAATTTATAAATACTAATATATTATTTATATCCCTAATCACCGTATGTTTATTCTTCTAAAAAAGCTTTAGTTAAAACGAAATTTCATAAAAAACCGTTTTCTTTCTTTACTCTACAAATGATTAAAATATTTCCCTTCCAAGACAGTGAAGGAGAAGAAAATTAAAATAAAAAAAGACGGCGATAAATAAAAAATAAAAAGGCGGCTGCTCTTTACAACAAAATCAGGGAGTCCCTCTGTTTCTCTTACTCTTTCTCTTTGTGCTAATCATCGATTACAGCTAAAGAGATCTCACCCAAAAAAAAAAAAACCACTAAAAAATTTTCGAGAGATACTTGTGTTTAAATCGCTTTTTTATTTTTTTGGTTTGGAAATTGAACCGTTTTAAAATTTTGGTTAGGTGTTTGGATTCGTGATCTAGTTTCGGTTTTTGATCCCCTTGGTGGGTGTTGGGAAGTTGTTAAAATTTGTCGGAAAAAAATTATGGGTTTCGAATAGTAGAAAATTACATTTGAGAACTTGATAATTGGGGTGAAGGTTACTTTTTTAAATTTTATTTTCTTTTTGTTGAATGATTTAGTTAGGGAGTAATGATGCGAGGAAGGGGCTAGGGTTAGGGTTTGGTGGTAGAGAAATGGAGGAGACCGAGCTTGAAGAAGGAGAGGCTTGCTCTTATGATAACAATAGCGATGATTATGATGCCACCACCGGCACCAAAAATGATCTATCTTCTCTCTCTTACATTGTAAGAAAATTTGGCACTTCTTATTTTCTCTTAAATGCAAAAAGCTTTCTTTTTTTTCTTTAATTAATGTTTAATTATATTGTGTTGACTTGTTTTTATTTTTTATTGTGTGTTAGATCCAAAGTTAAGATTTCTATGCTGATTAATTGCAATGTTGGATATTGTAGCTTCAATTGAAATGTGTTTACTGTTTAATTGAGTTGCTTTTAGAAATATAAGATATGATTGATATTTTAGTTTTTATTATAATATTGCAAGTTATGTTTGGTTTATGATGTAGCATCTGGAGAATTTAGTTTTTAAGAGGTTTAATTAAGTGTAGAGAATTTGTTTCCGCAGCATGTCTAGCGTGGTCATATATGAAGCTTTTTCTTGTAGAGGTATATTAATGGTTTTAGGGTTTTTAGAGTTGTCGGATGTGAGTTGGACAACTGTTTTCTAGGGTCATTGCTCATAACTTTTGTTTCCATGTAGGGTCGGTGATGTTTAATCATGGTAATCTTGAATGTAACGTTCATAATTCGAAGTTAGGAGAGTAAGATTCAAGTGGCATTGTTCTAACTTTTATTTCCATGTAAGGTTACTGATGTTTAATTTGGGTAATCTTGAATGTAATATTGGAGATTTCCTGATTGGAAGTTAGAAGAGTAAGATTCAAGCACGTTAGTTAGCTTATAGTCTCACTGTATTTTTACTGGTTCTGGAGGATTAGCTGCTAACTGTATGATGCAGTAGTATATGTATGTGGGCATTTCCTAACGTCTTTTCACTTGTCTCATGCTTCTTGTTAGTCTCTCTCCATGTGTTTTATGATCTTTTTGTGATATGTGGCTCCTTTAATATTTTTTAAGGATGAGAAAATTCAACATGTTCTTGGACATTTTCAAAAAGATTTTGAAGGTGGAGTATCTGCAGAGAATCTGGGTAAGTCACAACAAAAAGAGAATCATGGTTCTTGTAAGGTCAAGACTCACCATAAGTTGGAGTTCATTATTTGAAATTGATGAATTTGGGATTCTTGACATTCCTGCAGGGGCTAAATTTGATGGTTATGGATCATTCTTGCCTACTTATCCACGTTCTCCTGGTTGGTCACATCTGAAGAGTCCGCTAAAAGTTCAGAGCTGCATTGCACTTAGATCCCCAAACAATATTCAATTGGAGGTAGTGTTTTTCTCTATTTATCTCTTTTCCTCCCATGGAAATATAGTTAATTTTTTATAAGGGAGGAATCTTTCAAAGGATCTTGGTTGATTTGAGAAGTCCCAAGTTAAAGTGAGTACTTAGTTTGTTTTTATATAGGATGGCCGTCATAACTCAGCATGTTGGGCAAGTGGTTCTCAGTCACTGAGATGTGGACCACATCCTACAAATTTTGGAACCCTCCCTACTTTAAAGGCACCATCTATGAATGATTCAATTAAACAAGAGGTCAGCATAACATCCACTCATGCTGTGCTTGCTTCTAGGTGCGAATTTGCAAACAAGAAAGCTGCTAATCTGCCAGACCCAAAAACATTGAAGGTGCGAATCAAAGTGGGTTCAGATCACTTGTCCACACAAAAAAATGCTGCAATCTATAATGGTCTTGGCCTTGATGTCTCACCATCTTCCTCCTTAGATGAGAGCCCTTCTGAAAGTAAAGGGATGTATCGGGAGACTCAAGAGCCATTATTTGAATCTCCGACCAGTATTCTTCAGGTAAATCCTCCATTTACTATTTTGTTAATCTTCTCATAAAAAGAACGTTTCTCTTTTACTTTAACTGTGTACCTTCTTACATCTGATGTACCTGAAGTGATCAGAATATTTTTCTTTTCTTGATGTTTTTGAGCAGTTTATGACTTCCTTCCCAGTGCCTGGGGAGGCACTACTATCACCTCTCCCTGATCATCTACTTAACTTGACTGTAAAGGAAAAGATTCCAAAAGAGAATAGATCAGATTCTGGAAAGGGTGATGGAATATTAGTGGGAGACAAGAAAGCAAAGTCAGTGGGAAAAAAAGGATTTTCCAATGGAAAGGAAGGGTGGCAATAACAGGGAAATAAGGAATGACAATGGTAGCGTGTCAAAGAAGGAAGTAGATATTGACACATTGGCTTGTGAGGAGCTTGTTTCGAAAACATTGAAGCTTCCTCTTTTATCTAATTCATATTCTGCTGTTGACAAGGTAAAAAATAAGGGCATAGCAAGAAATAAAGGTGTCCATGATGTAGCTATGGAGGAGTCAGTGGAGCCAATATGCACCCAAAAGATCGGCTGGGAGAATCCAAGGGCTGGTTCTGCTCAAAAGGTTTTGGAGGAACGAAAGACGAGTGGTCTGGAGGATAATTCAGGCTATGTGAGAAAAGATGGGTACAATAAAGCAGAAAAAACTTATGATTCTGTCAAAGCCGAGTCTAATACTCTAAAAGGTAGTGAAGCGCTTAATGGTGAACCAGTAGATCCTACCGGGCAGAAGATCAGCCAGAGAGGTACATTGCCTGAGCAAGAAAATATGAAGTTGACCACTGCAAAGGAGCATACCACTTCTGGTGGAAAAAGAAAATCGAAAGGCAGTCAGGGCCATGGCAGTCTAGCTGCAGAGGTACCAAAAGAAAGCTTGAGGGTTGGTTCTTCCTCAATGCTGAAAAATAAGCAGACCGCACATGTGGCAAATTATACAAACAAAAGGGACTCGGGAGACCAAAAATTAGAAAGGCCTTTTCGAAAAGATGAAGATAGGTATAGAGATTTTTTTGGAGATATGGGAGAATCAAAACAGGAAGAGAACCAAACATGTTCATTAGAAATTCATTCTGAAGATTGGCTGAAGGAAGCAGATAAGATTGAAAAAGATATATCAGCCATTAAAAGTGCACATAATGATAGACTAACTGATAAGAGAACTGAGGATTTATCCTCAACTGAATCACACCCTAGAGCAACTGTGGATGGTGCTCCTAACTCTGCCAATGCGAATGTTGATGGAACTTCCCTTGCAACTGCAGCTACTGTATTGGTAACAGACAATTGGGTTCATTGTGATAAGTGCAAGAAGTGGCGTCTTCTTCCAGTAAGCATAAATCCTGCTGACTTACCCAAGAAGTGGTCATGCAGCATGCTTAACTGGCTGTAAGTTCTTTATCAGCGCCTCTTCTAAATTTTTATGAATGTAATTTAATGGTTCAGACAACTAAGTTTTTCATACATATTTATTGTTAAAATGGTGTTGGAGTGAATATGAAACCATTGGTGTTGATAGTTAACTTTGTGATGGATTGTGGAAAGAGTTCTCTTCTCTTCTCCCTCTTTCTAATCTCTAATATGTTTGGCTTGTAAATGTTTAGGCCTGCTATGAATCGCTGCAGTGTTGATGAGGACGAAACTACAAGAGCTGTTTTTGCATTGTATCAAGTTCCTGCTGTAGAGAGTCAAACTAATCTGCAAGGTAATCCTGGCTGTATTATATCCAGATTATCCTCAGCTGATGCCCTGCAACCTGACCAAAACGAACAAATTTTCGGTTCACATGCCATTCCCCCTTCTGGAAGGAAGAAACATGGTTTAAAAGAAATATCAAATGCAATGGATAAAGATGGGCCAACTACTATTAAGAAGAACATGCAGTCATCAGTTCAATCAGGAAGCCTAACTGATGTGACTCGCTCTCCTGTGGTAAGTGAACCTGCTTTACAGCACCCAAGCAGATGTGATTTGCCTGTTGAGAAACACAAAAATAAGCAGAAAGAGAAGCATAAAGTGTTGGAACACGGTTCTGATGGAGGTATTCTTTTTAAACTGATATTTACTGTGCTTGTAAAAAATATTTTTCTAAATTATATAATGTGTTGCTTTTATAAAACATGCAAATAGATGATGTCAAAATTTCAAAAATGAAAGGCAAAAGGATCACTGATCAAGATTCTTTAAGCGCCTCCAAGAAAATTAAGGCTGAAAGTTTGCATCTTGCTGATGAAGATTGGATGTTTGAGCATGCTGGTAAGGGGGGTCCTAGCACAAGTAATGGTTTGCGTTTCACATCAGTAGGAAAGGATCAGCCTAAACACAGTGAATGCTCTTCTTATATGGATTCAAAGTTGGATAATGACAGACAACAGGTCTCTGCTAAAAGACCAAAGGACAAAGTACAGGTTTTAACTGATGGATCATTGGATCTGGCGAATTTTAATGGTGGGGAAGTTTCAAGAAAGAGGAAAGTTGATGAATGTATTGATAGTCAATTATATACAGGTTCCCTCCAAGGTATGGGCAATCACCTCCAGGATAGCAGAGTGTTTGTGAAGGAAGAGTTCAGCGAAAATGACTACATGAGAGAAAAGAAGGCCAGGGAATCTAAGTCTGGGGGGAAGGAATCCTCTGCAAGTAAAAGCAGTAGCAAACCGGAGAAAAAAAGTAGACATTCAAAGAATCATCGAATTGGGCAAGATCAAGGTTGCACCCTGTCTCAACATAGCTTGGATGGTACGGATTCATTTAAAAGGGATTTTGGATCTGCCCAACCTTCTTTGGCAGCTACCTCAAGCTCATCTAAGCTTTCTGGTTCACATGAATCAAAACCTGGCTTCCATGAAACAAAAGGCTCACCGGTAGAATCAGTTTCTTCATCTCCAATGAGAATTGCTAATCCAGATAAACTTTCATCGGCAAGGGGGAATATTGCAGGAAAAGATGAGTCTTGTGATGCTGGGCTTTTTGTTGCAGGTAATCCAAGGAGATGCTCAGATGGTGAAGATAATGGTGGGAGTGACAGGTCAGGAAAAGTACGGAAGGAAAAAACTTCTGTTGCAGCTCAAGATGGGTCAATACTTGATGTTCAGGATAAGGATGGTGGTCAATTAGGTGGCAGTAGAGCTAGGCCACCAATTGAGTCTTCTCCTGATATCAGGAAAGGCCAATTTATGAATGGCAGTGTTGATTATTTAGGCCAAGAGGCTCAATATGCTGGTAAATCAACAACAATGGATGAAAAGCTTGATGAAGAAAATCAGAATGACAAACATGGCAATACCAATGTCACTCAGCCAAGAAAGTTAGGCAAGGGATCCTCATGGTCTAAGGATTGGAGTCGTAATTTGAAATCTGATTCTGTTGATGAATGGCAAGACTGTGTGCCGTCATACGAGGTAAAACCTAGGGATGGTAGAAATAAATTTCAGGAGAGGCTCAGAGTCAACTCTGATGAAGGTGAGAATAGACTTCTTGATAATAAAGAATCAGTGGGAAAATTGTCCGGTGAGAGCAGTAAAAGAGAAAGTCAATCAAATATTGGTTGTCCAGATGCTAAACCAGATGCCACTGGAGGTCAAGATGTAATGTCTACTGTGAAGCAGAATATTGTGCAGGATGGCTATGGTGAAAAATATACAAAGAGATTCCACTCTGACAAATCTGATCATGCAGAAGTTGCCTCTGGGAGAGGGAACTCTCTATCATTACCACACTCTGGAGAAACTCAAAAAGAGTTGCTGACTCGTTGCCCCCGCCCAGTTTCTGGGTTTCAAAAGGGAAATGGAGCTGATGGATCTCAAGGTGATGATGCATTGAAGGTACAAAAACAAATAAAAAAGGCTGATCATCAAAATGGGACTCAGCACAGTAGTTCAAGACATACTGCATCAGGTGGACAAAGAATCAGGGATGTTAATGCCCGGAGTCCAATGAGAAAGGATTCCTCAAGTCAGGCAGCTACCAATGCTTTGAAGGAGGCTAAACATTTAAAGCATCTGGCTGATCGTGTCAAGGTTTTACCTTTATGTTTTCTTGTAACTTGTTGCATTTTCTTTTGACCTAGCCTCTATCAAGCTTGATTTTTTCTATTTTAATTTTTAAAAATTCCCTCAGAACTCTGGATCAAATGTGGAGAGCACTGCACTTTACTTCCAGGCAGCATTGAAGTTTCTTCATAGTGCTTCTCTACTAGAATCTTGCAACAATGAGAGTACCAAGCATGGAGAGATGATTCAGTCTGTGCAAATGTATAGTAGCACTGCAAAACTCTGCGAGTAAGTTAAATATTAGGTGCACTAGCCGATGCTCTCTTTCTTTTGTAGCACTTTGTTGAAGCTTGATCTTGTTTTAGTTGAAAAAATTCCTGCAATGTGGAATCTTCTGTTAATTGCATTTTGTTTCAGGGTGATTTCATTTTCTGGTACTTGCTTTTATTTTTGTTTGTTTACCAATTAATATTTCAGATTTTGTGCCCATGAATATGAGAGATTAAAGGACATGGCTGCTGCTTCTTTGGCCTACAAGTGTACGGAGGTGGCATATATGAGAGTCATCTATACCTCTCATGCCAATGCAAGTAGAGATCGACATGAACTGCAGACTGCTTTACAAATGGTTCCTCCCGGTAATTCAATGAACCCAGTGATTGTATTGGCTGAAACCTTCCTGCTAGTCTGTGTAGCCCACAAACTTGTAAATTGTTGTTTACTGGCTCTAATGCGGTCAGTGATCAGGGAGCACTAGCCTCTGATATTTACTCTGGAATTTCGTTCCTTAATTTGTGAAAAGACCTCTGCATCAGAGGGTTGCATCTTAGAAGCAGAGCTGAAATTGATTGCTTTGCATAAACGACCAGTTTACTTGCTTACAGCATGTCTCTTTTTGCTTACATACCTTGAATGTGTTCTTGGTTTTTTTTTTATTTTTTATTTGTTCACAGAGAGACACACAGACATACATATTTGTTATTCTGTATTAGGTGGACATGAATTTATAAATCATCAGTGCTCTAGTTGCTATTTGATATGTAAGATGTTTTTACAAATTTGCTATTGGATCTAAGTTTAGGATAGGCCTGGTTGGCATGCATGCAAATGAAAAGATGTTTTCAGCATCAGTCTCTCAGTCTCCACAGCCCCTTTTATAGCCATTTTTTGTATTTTATTTTATGTTCCTTCATGGACATTAAATCTTTATAAATAATGTTAATATTGCACTGAATGAGACAAACTGATAGATAAGTTTAACTTCTATTCTTGATATTGGTGGTTGTTTCCTTATCAGGTGAGTCTCCTCCTTCTTCTGCCTCGGATGTTGATAATTTAAACCACCCAACAACAGCAGACAAGGTTGCTCTTTCAAAAGGTGTTAGCTCTTCCCAGGTTGCTGGAAATCATGTTATTTCCACTCGAAACCGTCCTAACTTTGTGCGGTTGCTCAATTTTGTGAGTGTAATTTTGCTTATATATAATTTTGAAAGTGTAATTCATGTGTTTTTAATGGTATGAACGTCAAAGCATTATTGAACACCCCCCCCCCCTCCCAACAGCACACACAAACCTTTCCACCCAAAAAAGATTTTCTTTTTGGTCTAATGCCCAAAAACCTTTTTTGCATTCTCACACTCCTCTCCCCCCTATACCTTGACCCAAAGGCTACTGGTTTCTGTATGTTGAAATCCACGTGGTTTTGCAGCTGTACTTTCAAGCACAAAAAGGTTCTGTAGTCTTGTCCATGACTTTTATCTGTTGTCTCCCTCTTACTATCATACATCATGTCATTTTATGCTCTATTGGCTTGCATATCTTATTTAAGTTCAATAACCTATCATAACCAAAACCAAATGTGATGATATGCAGGCACAGGATGTGAATTACGCAATGGAAGCTTCAAGGAAATCACGAAGTGCTTTCGCAAATGCTAATTTAAGTTTGGGAGGGGCTGAAGGTGGGGAGGTTATATATTCTGTGAAAAAGGCTCTTGATTTTAATTTCCAAGATGTAGAGGGACTGCTACGTTTGGTACGTGAGGCAATGGAAGCCATTAGCCATTAAGAAAAAAAATCTGGTTGGTGAGGATGATTTTATACTACAAGGAAATTTTCTTTTGATGTTTTATCCTTGGGTATGAAGTCATAGAGGAGAAAAAGAAAAGGGGATGGCCGGGTTTCCCTGCTGCAATCCATAACACTTACATTGAAAAACTCGCGAGTGCCCACTTTCGAGCATTCATTGTACATGTGTGCAATACAAGATAAATCTGGGATTTTCATTATATTCTTTCACAAGCTTCAACTGCATTCTGACATGGAACAAGCTCTGTTAATTTCCTTCTCAAGATGGTATTGAGGACATGTGATTCATAGGGTTTATATTTGAAATTGTTTAAGTTGTACAAATAGGTGATTATGCTCCAAAAGAATCGTGGTTGAAGAAATAATTTTGCATAAAAGATAGAGAAGCCAACTATAGATTGAGGGACAGATTGGTAAAATTCAAATAGTAGAGTTTGCCATTGTTTTGGCATTACCGTTCCTCGTAGGGAGTTTTAGTTCACCTAACTAATTAATTTGTTAATACTATTTTACTTAGAGACCTCTTTAGGAAAATACCGGGATATGCAGCAGCATGTGCTTGCTCTTGTGCCACGGGACCTGCTGTTTTCTCAGTTCAAGCACTATGAAACAGAGCAGTGCAGTTGACAGTCTCAGGTTTGCTACTCTTAGACTCTGTCTGCTTTAAAAAAACAAAAGTTGCAACATTGAGTCAATTTTCTTTTCCCTTCCTTGTCCTTATCCATTCTTGTTGTTGACAGATTATGTATCAAATTAGGATCAATTTCCTGATTTGTGGGATTTATATTTCTGGTCTTTTGTTTCTTTCTATGTTTGGATGATTACGTCTTGATTAGGTCTTGATTTTGTGGGTTTCTTTGTACATATCGATTTCTCTATATATTTGGGGATTTCTTTTTAATAAAAGAATACTCAAAGAACATTGTTTTTATCTCTGTTTTCACGGTATCAGAGCAAGGTTTGTTCTTGTTTTTTCTTTTCTAATGGCCAAAACAGCCATAATTGGTGCCTCTCGCGAGAGTGGATCAGAGGTGACTTTTGAACCAATTCGTACACTTACTCCAAAGTGCACAATTGCACAACAAAGTAACTATCTCTCTGCTTTGGGTGCAAAATCAGATTCTAAGAAATTTTGGATTATAGATTTTGGGGTGTCCAACCATATGATTGGATGCCATTAATTGTTTTCAACATATAATCCATGTCCTGGAGACCTTAAAATTCATATTGTTGATGGATCACTATCCTCTGTTGCTAAAAAAACAAGCATTAAAGTTTCTAATATGACACTATTTTCAGTCTTGCATGTTCTTAATTTAGCATGTAATTTAGTGTCTATTAGTAAATTGACAAAGGATTTGAATTGTGTGTCTAAGCTCTATCCTTCATATTGTGAGTTTCAGGATTTACTTTCAGGGAGGATAATTGGTAATGCTAAGGAGCATAAAGGCTTGTACTATCTTGAGGATCCTCAACAAGTAAATAAATAAGTTTTGGCTTTAACTGGTCAATCTGTTTCTGTTTCTGTTTATAGTGAAATTATGTTATGACACAATAGATTAGAACATCCTAGTTTTCCATATTTAAAAACTCTTTTTCCTACCCTTTTTAAGAATAAAGATGTTCATTCCTTTCATTGTGAAACTTGTCAACTTGTCAAACACACTCATGCTCCTTACCTTAGTTATCCATATAGATTTGCTAAACCTTTTTCTTTCGTTCATAGTAATATTTGGGGACCATCATGGGAAAATAACATAACTGGAACTAGGTGGTTCATAACTTTTATAGATGATCACACACGAGCTTGTTGGATTTACTTATTAAAACTTAAGTCTGATGCTAAGTACTTTTTCAGCAATTTCATAAAATGATTCAAACACAATTTCAAGCTCAAATCCAAATTTTTCACACAAACAATGGGAGGGAATGCTTCAATTCTTGGTGATCATTTAAAAGAAAATGGGAATTTTCACTAAAATTCTTGTGTTAACGCCTCCCAACAAAACAATATGGGGTTGCAGAATATCAAATTTGTCATTCATTAGTAGTTGCTCATGCTATCATGTTTACCAATAATGCTTCTAAGTTTTTTCGGGGAGATGCTATTTTAACAACCTCATACTTGATCAATAGATTTTCTAGTAGAGTTCTCAATTTCAAAACACCGTTAAACATGTTACTTAAATCATATCCACAAACTAGGTTATTTACTTTTTTACCTCCAAAAGTCTTTGGTTGCACATTTTTTGTTCACAATAAAAGTCTATCTCGTGGGAAACAAGAACCTAGAGCTGTAAAATGTATCTTTACTGGGTACTTTTACTCAAAAAGGGTATAAGTGTTATTGTCCATCCACGAAACAAATATTTATCTCATTAAATGTCACATTCTTTGAAAGTCAACCTTTTTACCCAAAACCAATTCTTCAGGGGAAGATACCAGGTGAAGATAGGCTTTGGGATTTTTCCATTCCACTTCCTATAACATCTACTATTCTTATTGTGTCACCATCAGAAGCTAAGGTAGAAACAAGGGCAGATTCATCTATGTTTAGTCCTCAACAAAAAACAGAACTCCGTGTTTATTCACGATGTAAACCACAGCTTTAAGAAGTACAAACTTTTGTGCCCCAACCGCATTGTCAAGAATTTGATCCATAAGTAAATTCTAAATCAGAAAATGCTAAGCCTACAACACCATCACTAGTGAATACTGATCCGGAAGTAAATTTTGAATAAAAAAATGTTGTGCCTGCCGCACCATCACCAGTGAATGCTCCACCTAACGATCTAGGCATGCCTATAGCACTCAAGAAAGGTGTAACATCATGCACTTAACACCCTTTGTCCAATTATCTTACAACCATTTGTTTACTATATTTTGTGCCATGATAGAAAAGATTGAGGTATTAAAATCCCACAAAATATTCATGAAGCTTTAAAAATCTCAAAATGGGAAGTTACTGTACTTAAAGAGATGAGAGCCTTGAAAAGGATGTTGTGGAGTTATCTAGAGGAAAAACACTAGTTGAATGTAAGTGCATGTTTACTATTAAGTATAATTCAAATGGTGGAATAAAAAGACACAAGGCCCGCTTAGTCGCAAAGGGATTTACTCAAACTTTTGGAGTGGACTACACTGTTGCTCCAATTGTTAAATTGAATACTATGAGGGTATTGCTTTCACTAGTTGCTAATCTTTACGAGCCATTACACCAAATGGATGTCAAGAATGCCTTTTTGAATGGGGAGTTGGATGAAGAAGTTTATATGGAATTGACTCCTAGCTTTAAAAGGGTAAATAATGACAGGAAGGTATGTAAACTGAAAAAGTTTCTCTGTGGTTTGATTGTTGTGCAAAGTCAGTATGTAGACATGGATTTAGCCAAGGACAAACTGATCATACTCTTTTTTCCAAACACTCACCACATGGAAAAAAAGACTATTTTGATCGTTCATGTAGATGATATTATATTGACAGGTGATAGACACCGAAGAAATAGAAAGGTTAAAAAAGACTCTTGGAAAAGAATTTGAACTTAAGTATCTTGGACAACTAAAATTCTTTTAAGGATGGAAGTTGCAAGAAACAAGAACGGCATTATTGTTCCCTAAAAAAATATACGGTTGATCTCTTGAAGGAAACTGGTCTGCGTGGCTGTAAACCAGTTGATACACCTATAGAGCCTAATGTGAAACTTGAAAAGAAAGGAGGAATTCCCATAGATAGGTGGAGATATCAACGATTAGTTGGAAAGCTGATCTACTTGTCTCATACAAGATCTGATATTGCCTTCACAGTTAGTGTAGTAAGTCAATACATGCACTCTCCAATTGAGGAAGCATCTTGAAGCTGTATATCAAATCTTAAAGTATTTGAAGGCCACACCTGGTATGAACAAAGAAATGTGGAAGCAGTTACAGATGCAAGTTGGGCAGGATCAATTGAAGACAAAAAATCCTCCTCTGGGTATTTTACAAAGGTTTGGGTTAATCTTGCCACATAGAGGAGCAAGAAACAGTTTGTTGTTGCTCAAAGTAGTGCAGAAGCAAAATTTAGAGCTCTTGCACAAGGAACTTCCAAACTTATCTGGCTGAAGAGACTTTTGGGAGAATTGAAAATAACAGCTGAATACCCTATGAAACTATATTGTGATAACAAGGTTGCTATAAGTTTTGCTCATAATCCAGTGCATCATGAACGTACAAAGCATGTGGAAGATGATAGGCATTTTATCAAAGAGAAGATTGATATGGGAGTGATCCGTATAACCTCAGTTCCTACAAAGCAACAAGTAGTAGATATCCTAATAAAAAGACCACGTAAACCAAGCTTTGAGACACTTGTTGACAAGCTGAGAATGAGAAATATGTATTCTCAGCTTGAGGGGGAGTGTTAACAGATTATGTATCAAATTAGGATAAATTTCCTAAATTTCCTAATTTGTTGGATTTATATTTCAGGTCTTTTATTTCTTTTTATGTTTAGATGATTATGTCTTGATTTTGTGGGTTTCTTTGTACATATCGATTCCTCTATGTATTTGAGGATTCCTTTTTAATAAAAAAATATTCAGAGACCATTGTTTTTATCTCTGTTTTCACTTGTTTTTTGTATTCTTTGAGTTTCACCTTTGTTATTTATATTGGTGCAGGTCAGCTGCTGTAGTACCTATCATTGTATATACTTAGGATTAATCAAGATGAGCTAAAAGAATATAGTAAAGTAATATTTGGTGCAAAATTACAGTGGTAGAGATCGAAACAAGGTTGCTTTTTACCCTCTAAAGGTTGGTGGCCTCTTTGTTGTTTATTTGATTGCTTCATTTTCTGCTCTGGCATACTGTTGCTTCTAACCATTGTTATTTTTATGGCAGTAAACATTTATGTACCATAAACTTATCTTTGTATGGTTCCAATTTGGAATGTGGCAAGTGCTTTTGTTTGTGGGAGAGATCATTCTATTATCTTCAAGTTGGCCAACTTGATGCTGATAGGTAAAAACTCTTTCAGTGACCATTATTCTCCTTTTATTGAATGGCAATTCTGTTCTAAATGTCTTGCAATCAAAAAACGTAGTTGGACGAAGGAGGGGCAAACAGTTTTAGTAATCCACATTAGTGGACTAAGAAGCCTTTGCAAGTAATTGCTATTGGAGTCTATAAAATATGCAGACAATTGGCCTTTCTTTTAGGAGGCCTGACACTGGCTGCAAGTGCTACCTCAACCGAGTTTGAGCTGTAGCTGACCTACAAGCACCATGAGTATAGGGTTGACAAACCAGTAATCCAAATTTAAGAGGCATGTCATGTTCCCAATGGGCTTGTCAATATATTACTGGAAAGCTGAGCCTTTTTCTACGGGGCACTGTATGATGGTTGACTCAATTATATACATTAAGTAAAATTTGAAAACACGAGATCTTTCAATGATTGAAAATGTGACTCGCCTGTGAACAATCAACTTTGGCATTAGTGAGGGTTGACGCATCAGTTTGTTGAATTTAGCAGTTCATGCTTGTAATTTTACGGCTCTGGATCTATGTTTCTAATTACGCAATATCCTTTGATTTCAGGCTGAATAATTTGGGCGGTTGCATGAATAGCGAAGCTGGCTGTGGATTGACTGTGATAATGAAATTGGTCCTTGTCCTCTTGCTATGTCACCCCTAAATATCTCGATTGTTAATCTCTAGGTGACATTTGTATGACAAAATTGACTAACCCTTTTTTTATGTAATAGTCAATAACGTATTAATCTAAAATTTAATCGATAGATACAATTTTAAGAATAGTCATTAAATTTTTAATCTATGATTGATTACTTGATGAATTTATCATTTTAAGATTATTTTAAACGTGATTAAAACTTAAAAAAAAATTGATTTTTGGTCTACGTTTTAAAATTAAGTGCAAAAATTATATTATATGTGAAGAAGATTATAACATCTTTATAATATCTATTTAAGTTGGTATTAATTAATTTTAAATTATCTTAAAATTTTGGTTAATTGATCTTTTTATTTAAACATTTACATAATAAAAAGATTTTTAAGTTTTCCTCACCATTTTGTAGAATTTTTTAAAAAAATTTTCATCTTAAGAGTGTACAAAAAATCTATTTGTTCTTTTGAAGAGATTTTATTGATGGATTTTATTTTTTTAATTTATTTAAATTATTTAAATTTTCCACCATTGTAAAAATATTTAAAAATATTTTTTCACTTAAAAATAGAAATTTATATGAAAATCAATCATTCTTGATTTTTCTAAATTATCATTGGATTTACTTTATTTTTTATTTCAAAATTTTATTTTTATTATTTCTAAAATTTAACATTTCTATCCTTATTATTTACTATGCTTAAAAAAATATTATTAATAAAATTTTACCTAATTTTACCATCATTCAGACAAAAATTAAAATTAAATTTCTCATTTAAAAATTTTTAAAAAATTAATCATTTTTTATCTTTTAGAGTTTTTTGGGTTCACTCTATTTTATCAAAATCTTATTATTCCAATTTAATTATGTTTGAAAATAAATGTTAATTATTGTTATTAAAATTATCACCTTTCACCATTTTGGCAAAATAAAAGTTCTCATTGGAAATTTTAAAAAATCAATCATTCTTAATTTTTAAAATTTCATCATTTGGCTAGTTTTTATTTATTTTTAAGAATTACATTCTTGTTATTTTTGTTTTTGATTTTATATATTATTTTTATATTTCAAATTTTTATCTAAATTTTTTACTTTTTAGAAAAATATTTAGGATAAAACTTCTCAATTAAAAATTAAAAAAAAAATTATTCAATTGTGATTTTTTAAAATTTTATCATTGGATTTATGGAAGATCTTAATTCCAAACTTTATTCTATCATTTGAAAAAATATTCTCAATATGGTATTTTATTTTTATTATTTTTGTTATCAAAATTTTTACTTAAAATTTCTACCATTTCAAAAATTTTAAGGAAAAACTTTTTGCTTAGTAATTTCTTAAAAACATCAATCATTCTTGATTTTTTTAATTTCATTAGATAATTTTTATCTATATTCAAAAATTTAAATATTATTTTTGACTTTATCAACCAATTATTAGTCTTATATTATAAATTATAAATAATTAAAACATGTTGTAATGAAGAAATTTAAAAGGATAACAAAAAAGTAATAAAGTAACATAGACATCAACTCACTAATTGAATTTAAATGTTTACTTTAATAAAATTTAGTCAATATAAATTTTTTAATAAATTTCTTTTAAATTACAATAATTTTTTTCAATCGTAATTATAATAATTTTTATTAATATTTTTTAATCTCATAAAAATCAATCATACAAGATTTATTCAAATGAATCCTAAGTGAATACGGATCCTAAATGAATACCAGTATACTTACAAACAGGTAGAGTTGATTATGGGTTGAAGCGCAGGTCGCTTGGCAAGTCTAGGAGGATCCGGTTCATTAAACCCCAAAACGTCATTGTTTTATTAAACATATAAAAGTCAAGTTTTTGTTCTTTTCCTTCAGCCTTCTTTTGTTTTTCTCTCTATTGGAATTCAATTTTTCTGCTTCTCTCCATCCACGATTCCTGGCCACCGCTCTAGTCTTTATGCCGATGTTGGCCGCTGCACATCGCCACTGGCCGGAGTCAATTTGAGCCCAAAACTTCCCCAACATTTCCTCTCGACCTTTTCGTCTCGGAAAATGAGCTTGGATTTTTCGAAAATGCTCCTCAAATGCCACAGATCTGAAAGTTTATTTTACGGCTCCACCCTTCCTTGTTGTTCTGATGGTAGCCAGCTTGAGGTATGCTTTTCCTCTTCTTCGGATCTTCGTCCTCACTGAATTTGGAGACACAAATCTCTTTGAAACGTCTTGGACCAAAAATCGAAGAGAGAGAATGTCACATCTCTATCTTTTGTCTTTTTTTTTGTTTTATGTTTCTGATTTTTTTTCTCTGATTATGATTTTTTCCTTGGACTAATGTTGGTGTGCTTAACTGAGAATGGGCGATTGTTCGACGAGAAATCGAAGGTGGTGGTAGGACCTCGTCTCGGCAATGGATGGTTGTTGTGGTAGGGAATGGTTTCCTGAATTTTCTTTGTTTTGAAGTCTAATTGTGGTTTGTCATAGAGGCTGGATCTCTGATTGTGCTTGTCCTTCTTTTTTGGATTTTTTTGTCTGATTTTGGATGCCTGTGTTGATGAAATTGCTGGGTTGGTGGGTGTGGATCTTTCGATTCTGGATTCCTATAGTGTGTAGCTTTGCTAGTAATTATGTATTGGGCTGACGAATAGTGGCTTTTCTTGATGGTGGAGAATGAACTCTCGGAAGTTCTTTGTTATAGGCTACAATAATTGGTGGATGGCAGTAGTGGAATTGTAGTTGTTAATGGCTAGGGGCATCTTTGGTGAGCTTCGGGCTATGGTAATTTTGTATGTGTTGATGCTTGGAGTTTTCTTTTCTGGAAGTTGGTTTTCTAGGATTGAGAACTAGGATGATGGGTTTCCTCGTCATGAACTATCCCTTTTGTTTGCTGGTTGGCTCAGTTTATACAGAGATTTGTTTCGATTGTTATAGGGTTCAAAATCATAACAACTTCCCAGTTAAAAAGGATTTGCTTCCATCATCTTTTTTAATCTTTATCATTGAAATTTCATCTTCAACACAAGTCTGATCAAATCCAGATTTTTCAAAAATCAGATTACTTATCATGTTCACTTACCCGGTTTATTTAAAAAAATTAATGAAATAAAATAAACAAATACAAATACAAATAATGAAAACTATAAATTGTGAAAGAAAAAGCAGGCCAAACACTTGGTTCGGGTTTTAAATCCAAATCAAGCCTAAAACTTTAAAATTCCGAAAGTGAATGGATTAACCTAACACCCAAACGGTAAATTCAAACTTAAATGGGTCAAATTAAGATCACTTTAATTAGAGAATAAAAATCCGAAACTGAGTATTCAAATTTGAAATTATTTCAGATGATCCTAGATAAAATGGGATTTCTAAACTAACTCTTGCTCTTCTTCTCTGTATGTACATAGGCATAGCAATGACATTTTAGTCAAGCCTTCAATAAAATTGGAGCCGCTTTGGGTATGTATCTCGGTAACTTTGCCCTTCCAAATTTGGTCGATTGTTGTTGTGCAACTCCCTACTGAACTATGTTCCTTTCTTTTATCAGCAACCTAGAATAGAACCTTCATCATTTTGAAGTCATATTTAGGAAAGAGGAAGTTATAGTATTCAACTCATCGTTTCTAAACTAACAACCAGAAATCAAAGAAAACGAAGAGAAAATACGTTGAAAAAGAAATATAAGAGAATGGCTATTGTTTATTTATAGCCTTAACACATTTGCAAAATAGGCTGGCATAAGTTTTGAGTTATGTTCAGCTATTTTGTGTAGTATGAACTCATTGTCAAAGAGCTGCCATAGATGTCGAAAAGATTGACACACGCAACCATAATTAGAGGCATTAGACCATTACTAAGATAAGGTAAAGCAATGAAACTATGGTCACACGAATAAGGCAAATCATATAATTAATTACTTTAAGACACTTCAAATTTCTTAATAGGAGATATATATATATATATTAATATATCATTAGTATGATCACCGAAGAGTTTGTTAGAAATTAAAACAAAAAGTGTATCAAATTTATCATAAAAATATTAAGATATCAAAAATAATATTTTTAGACATGCTTCAATACTTCAAAAAAAAATACACGAAAAGAGAGAAGAGAGTAGATAAAATACCAAATAAATATGCTATAATTATACATATATGTTATGATGATGTGAATAATTAAACAATTATATGTAAACTAAGATGACATAACATCTAAAATGTTGCTGACGTAAGCATTAAGATAGAACATATAGAAGTAACTTGTCTTGACATTCTTCAACAGCCATGGTTTCATCAACTTACAGTGATACTTCACATCAAAGTTGAATTGTGAAACTGAAGTTATTCTTTAGCCCTCTCCAAAGAAGTAGACAAAATTTCCCACCTAAATAATCAGAGTTCAAAATCAGTTCCATAGAAGTTAACAAAAAAAAAAAAACTCCAAGAATATCCATCCATTAGTGAGAAAACTCAAAGATAGTATAAGATTAATATAATAATTCAAAGGAAGACGCAAATGAAGTTCAAAATGCATAGAACAGAACATAAGGGCAATTTGCTCTATAGGATTAATTCAAAACACAAGTATAAAAACAAATCCTACTCAAATTGCACAAAAAAAATATAATAACAAGACAATAAAAAGAGGGGGAAAAAAATAGAAAGATCACCTGAAAGCTTATGCTTCGCTTTTCTTTTTTTTTTTTTCCTTGAATTGATGTCGAAGGTCTTACCATTATTGCATTTCTGTATGTTTTATTGCCATGCTTTTGCAGTCTTAATTGTCCATACTTAAATCAGCCATATGGATAAAAATTAATCATAGAGGTCTTCTGCCATACTAGCATTGAATTTTATATTATTAATAATTTTCATCCGTGACCTTAAAAT